CTACTACTACCACCACCACTGCCACTACTGCTACTGCTACTACTACTACTACTACTACTACTACTACCACTACTACTACCACAACTACTACTGCTACTACTACTACTACTACTACTACTACTTCTATTGCTACTTCTACTACTACTGCTACGACGACGACGACTACTTCTACTTCTACTCCTAATAATGGTCGTCGTCGTCCCCCGCCTCCTCCCCTCCTTGTCTGTTAGTCAGTACTTGTAGACTTGTAGGCATGACAGTTTGCATTGAAGGTTCTCGCACAGCCGTTTAGGTTTGCCCCGCCTGACGCGCAAGGCTACAAGAGTTGGAAGCCTCGGTGGTGCTGCGGCATATGCTGAAGGCCGGACTTCAGGGTTAACGAAAAACCTTGACCGTTCAGGACAGGAGGGCACCTTGAATCAAAGCCCGGACGGAAATGTCCCAAGCACCAGCGCCCAAGACTGGGCACCGCCCATTGCAGACGTCCCAACTGCCGCAAGACCCACTCTTGCCATTGAGCGCAGGCATTGCAATGCTGCCATGCACAGTATCGAGGGCATTATGTTTCTTGCCGCAGATCATTGGGCATGTCTCCAGGTTGAGGGCGAGGGTCATGTGTCCGAGCGCTTGCACTCGCTTCAGGATCTTGCAGTAGGGGCGTCTTGAAGTAAGAGAGACCGGGGCCCGCGCTCGGACTGAGGACATCAAGCCAGAGAATTTCATGTTCAAGCGCTCCTTGGGTTGCAGAACATCGAAGCATGGCAAACAAGCTTAAGTTTGGCCGTGCAAGGGGCAGTTTGCATTTGAGGCGAGACACAAGGTGACATCGCGCATGGCAACCTCAAGAACCTTACATGCAAGAGGTCCATTTCACGACTGCCGTGGGGGCTGCCCGAACGATTCTTCAATGTGCACTGCAAGTATTCAGGCCAGCGAGGTTTCTGCCAATTAGGCCAGTCTACTCAGAACCGACGTTGAGCCCTGTGCTGGTGGCTTCATGAAACTAAGGATGGTGGACCTAGGGCTGAGCAGCGCTTTTGACATGCATCGGAAGCACCGCGTTTCTGGCACTACGGCCGCTTGTGCTGGAGTTGGAGCTGCTGACCTGCCAGGGGATTAAGATCACAGTTGGAATCCCTGTCCCAGTGTCGACATGCAAAACGAGAAGAACAGCCGATGTCTCCTTATGTTGCTAGGGGCCGCCTGTTCTCAGGCCTACATGGCGCCAGAGTTCTGGAGTGGCGTTTATGGTCCTGAAGGCCGTGCAGTCACGCTTAGATGAGCACCGGCCCAGACCCCTACAATAAAATCAGAGAGGGAAGCCAGGTACTGTAGGCCCCCTCTTGGCTCTGTTTTTAAAGTCTTAAAAAGTCTTAAAGCCGTCTTAAAGCTCTTCCAGTGCTTCAGTTTCCAGGGACAAGATCTTGAGCCAAGTCACATGCTTGATTTCCAGGCGATGTTTGGAGTTGCGGCGTCGTCCTCTTCGTAATGCTGACAGGCACGCGGCCAGCATGCAAATAATGCTAGTCCGTCGAACATGCATGCACAACATTGGCTCACAAGGCGCTCCACTTATTTTCATAACTTAAGCCTGGCCGATGAGGAGTCAGGATCGTCGCATTAGTCTTTCCTGTGCAGCAGTGCTTCTTGTTAGTTGGCGGCGAGAAAGCAAGAGAGAGATAGACCACAAGGCCCATACTGGCCTACAATCCCGGCTTCTTTTATTCCACCTTTCCGAAGCAACCAGTGACAGGAATTCGGGGGACCTGAAGGCTCCAATTCGACTTCGCACAAACCTTGACAGGCCCGGGGGAACCAAAGCATGTTTTTCCTTCACCCCCTTTTCCCTTTCGAGCCCTCCTATGATATGGGGACGCACAACAAGCTCTTGGTTAGACTCTGGCCGCGGCCTTACATGTTTTGATAGACGCTTTCTGTTGCTGCGCCCCTGCCTGATACCCACTGCCATTCTTTGTCAAAGGGCGGCCACGATCTTTCCTTCCTGTATAGCTGAGCCCGCTGTGGAAACAACCCATGGGGGAAAGACGGCCGCGGGTGCGCGCACGCACACTCCCAGGGTAAGACCGCCCTGTGCTCCTCACCTGCCTGGTAGAGAGAGAGAGAGAGAGAGAGAGAGAGAGAGAGAGCGAGAGAGGGAGAGGGAGANNAGCCCTCTATGCCCGAGGGAAGAAGGGAGAGAGAGAGAGAGAGAGAGAGAGAGAGCGAGCGAGAGATACAGCGATAGACAGACTGGTGTACCTTGCGCCCCGGCGGACCCTCCCCCTCCCCGCCCTCATAGCCAATGGTATCCCCACATTGGGTGATCCCTCTCCCCTGCGGAACGGCTTGGGCCTTAAGCTTCCCTGTGGAATGGTTGGGTGGTTTGGTTTAGGGCTTCCCCCCATCGATTCTGCGTGTGATCATCCCCCCTCCCGCCTGGAACGGCTTGGGCCTTGAGCTTCGGAGTTTAGTCCCCGTTCTCCCTCCTCTGGAACAGGATCCTGTCCGCACTTTGCGGGGAAGGGACCAGAACGCTCTCCCCCGCCAGCTTGCCCGGGTCGTAATGTGCGCACTTCTCCCACATGGCAGCTCCAAAACCGTCACGAGGATCTCGTCCCAAACACACCCGATCCTAGTGGTCCTAGTGACAGTGGACACTTCCAACCGCGACTCCGACATGAGGGCATTCACAATCCAACGATCACGAGCGTCGCGTTCCTGACAGGCCTGGGGCCTGTGACAGTTGAAGGATGTTGAAGGAAGGAACAGAAACAGGATGATGATGATGATCATCATTATCATTATCACGTTCATGATCATGATCACCACGGTCATGAAACAACCCGGCCCAAGCAGACCCAAACCCGAACCACACCACACCACACCACACCACATGGGCGGTGGGGCGGGGGCGAGCGGGTACCAACCATTGGGGGGAAGCGGCCGCACCGGGATCATATATACCACTCCGACTGTGTTCGAAGCACTTCAGACTGAATTTGGCAAGTTTTTGAACGAAGATGGGGCAGCACCTGTTGTGCATGTGAGTGGGAGCAGCCGCATCTAGCACAGTCCATTGAATCTGCCCAGAGAAGTCGATCTACCGTTCAAACGACCCGAGCAGAGTGGGCATGTGCACAGTGAAATTCATTCATTTCTGCATGGGAGGTGCACAGCTATCAGAGCGTCATGCTTATATACAACGGCAGTAGGAGACCTCATGGCTTAGTTGCAATGGGAACTCAATGAATGTTGGCAGAGGCAGTCACGATTACTTAGATGTCATTGGAGCCGCATTCTACGATGGCAACTTCAGACATGGATTCCACAATCAGGTGGAAGCACAGCGATCCATATTTCCACAGTCAATCCAAATTTGACAAACGATCCCTGAAAGGATAAGATTTCTGCATCCACACTGGCCTCCATACCCCTGACCCCCCAAACCAATGATGCGAAACCCTAGAAGAAGGATAACATTCGCTTGAATAGCAAACACACATCCAGAATTAAAACAAACCATGCAGCATTGGATGAAAAAGGACTGCGACAAAATCAAGGAAACAATGTCCAGAAGCCGCAGACAGGAACTCCGCTTCTCGACGACATCTCCCCAGCCACAGTGAAGCGCGGCTTGTCGGCAGCTGCTTAGGCCACAAATTCCTGCGACACCGCAGAAGCATTTCAGACTTCATTCTGATGGGTCGCCGCTGCCCAGGCGAAATACGAGTCCGCCAGATGCTTCGGGAACGCGTGTTGTCCGCTGTCACCGCGCATCCCGACAGAGCTTGCATTCTGAAACTGCTTGAAGTGGGGCCTTAATGGCTTTAATATTTGTTGCATCTGTAGGTCTGATGTCGGCTGACTTCTCAGGTACAACATTTCTCCAGTCGCTGCTGATCTACTGATGCAAATGCTTCAGCATGACCGGCATGCGAGGCAGGCATCACTGAAGCCAGATATAGCAAGACGCTCCTGAATGACCCGCTTCCCCGAATGCCAAGTTTCTGTCAGTCATGTGCTTTTCCATGCGTTCATGGAGCCAGAGTTCTCACACGCTCGAGACTTGGGACCAGAAGGGCTGGATAGCACATTGACTTCATCCACCACGTTCCACTCTTGCTGGTGACGAGGCCTACCATCAAGGAGGCTTTGAAGCACCCATTCAACACAGATGGGTACGAATTGGAGCGAAAGACACACAGCTGCACTACGCTACACTGGTGGCTTTCCCGGTGAATATGGTCTGCCCTCCACATTGATCTCTTCCAAACACCCAAAGGTTGCCCCCCCGCCCCCCCTCCGGCAATACTAAGCCCTAATTTTCCGTGACAACTAATTTAATATTAGTGGTCAAGCAAGAAATTGGATCTTCTCATTCTTCAGTGCTTCTTTCTACATCCTTGAGTTGGCAGACTCACACTGCAGTCCCCTTGCAGCCCCACGCCCTTCCCCGGCAATGCAGTCTTCCGGTGCAATCCGGGCCAAAATTCTCCCCGAAAAGATCATATCATATTGGGGTGGCTGCGGCATGCCTGTCATGTGGTTGGATGTTGCGGACACCTTTCCTCGCCGCGGCCACGCGATTCCTTGGCTTGGAAGATGCCTTACCGGCCTTACCGAGCATGCCTGCATATGCCAGAAGTTCAAGCGGAGGGAAGTTCCCTTTATGTTGATATACGCCCTCCAAAACTATCTTCCGCACCAAGCCTCGCAATGGCTCACAAGCGGTTGCATGGCACATATGTCTCGAAGAATCCAGTTGTTCGACAGTGCACTTGAAACCGCCTGGTTGGTTGAAACTCACCTGGAGAGCTTGGACTGCTGAATCTTCGCAATGCCGACAAAGAGAAAAATTCGAGCGGCCAGAGCAGTCATGTCCCATGCGCAGCAGAGACCCGGTGTGGGTTGAGTTTCCCCCCTCCCTCCCTCCCTACCTGTTTTTTGAATTGGTTGGGCTGGGCCGGGGAGGGGCTTGGCCGGCCGCCTTTTGCAAAATCAGGTTTCGGTCAGAAAACCCCGCCCCCCTTCAGGTCAGCAGTCGGAGTGATAGATGATGAGAGATGCCGTCGGTTTCACCATCAGTATATCTGGTGGACTTAGGCCGTGGCATTCGTTTGCTCATCATATGTGCCGGCATGGACGAGCTGCCAAGCCCTCCTCGCAAGGCATGCCTTCAAGCCCGCCGCACGCATGGATGAACAGAAAAGGAGCTTTTGGGGTTGCTACCCTGCCAGTTTGAGGTTAGAGGAGAGCTGGTTGGAGCGAAGCCAGCTTCGATATGTCCTCTGACGCGACATCGAACCCCGAGAGCAGGAGCATGCGAGAGAACTGAGCGGATAACAGAAAGGCAGAGCCCGTGCGGAAGTCGAGCACACAGGAGTCAGCGTGGCTGGCCAAGCCACAAAATGTGTCGTGCCTGAAGTGATGAACTCAGGCTGTCGTCCGTGGAGCGAGACCAGGCGGCGGAAATGCTCGCCAAGCTGCCTGACACAGTCCACCTGCTGCATGAGAGAAGGTGTGTCAAGGTTTGCTGCTCGTCCTTCGAATCTAACGCAGGCCTTGCCAAGCGTTGCCAGCTTGTGTTGTGAGGTCCGTGAAGTCATGCAGGAGCCGATGCTGTGCCTGAGCTGCAGAAGCACTTATTGACAACTTGCTCGGCTGCGCTTGAAACCGGATGCTACAGCACCCATATACCTGCAAATTGACGGGACAACACAGGAAGCGAGTGGCTCGCTTGATCATGGTTCATGTGAGCGAGGCCTGAGAGGGCAGCGGGGCTTGGCAGGTGAGAGCACCAGCAGGATGCTATTGTTTTGGCACCTGTCGAACTGCGCAACGTTTGACTGCATTCGTTTGACTGCGAGTTGCAGCTTCGAATACTCAGCGGGTTTGGGAAGCCACGGACGATTGCCTTGTCAGGTTTCTGAAGCGGCCAGTTTGGCTTTCCGAATGCTAGGCCGGGGGAACACAGTGGTGGCGGCAAGAGAGTAAAGCCTTCATTGTCAGCGGCAGGAGAACTTAGCGCCTTCCATGTAGACTCGGGGCAGCCTAGATTCCTACCCCTTTCCCAGGCCCTAGGTTCCGCGTCAATCCGCGTCCCCTCCCCCTCAGCACGTCGCGCAGATCTGCATGGCTACGGAGAACTCTCCATTTCGGCCTTGGAGGACAACCAGAAAGTCTTTAGCTCCTTGGCAGATGGCAGCATTGGGACAGCTTGCGCTTGTAGCTGAGCCCTTGCATCTCTTGCCCACTCCTGCTTCCGTGTGACTGCTCATATTTGCTCGGCATCCTGTGGTTTGCGGTTCGAAAAGACAGAAAGCTAAGGTGATGGGAGGTTGCCTGACGACTTGGACGAGATTTTCGACCCCCTGGCAGCAGTTCAGTTCCTGTGATTTGATGCGCGAAGTCATGTCCACACGAGCAAGCCGTTCACACATGACCGCACTTTGAACTTTCATACTTTGACGAAGTAGGGTCCGCATTGTAGCCTGAGCTACGTTACCTTGTGGCCAAGGAGGCGATGGACTTGAACCGAGATGGCACGGAAGCCCAGAGTTTCTGCTGCTCCTCGAGTGCCGAAGCTTCGCAACACAAAAGATGCTCTGGCACAGACGCATGTAAGGCTACATCAGCTATCGGGCCTTCTTGGCAGTGACACTTTCAGATGACATCCGCTGCGACTCCAACATTCTTGGCGTGCCTGTCGCTGATTTACGCGGGCCTTTAAGTTCAATGACACCAGCATGTGTAAGGAATTTCGATGCTTGGGCCCGTTTTCTGAAAAGGCGTTGACTACAGATTTCACTTGCTTTGCGGTTCCTGGCTTGAGACCTTAGACGTTGCGACATTACACCGCGCGGTTCATTCTTTCGGGCTTCCCAGGTGACGTTTCGGATCCTGGACACTGACAAGGACATCGGATGTGTCGAAGGTTCACGACCCCGGTTCTGAACCGGCATGCTTGCTTGAAGCTATGTGCCCTGAAAGGTTTCAGGTTCAGAATTCTGGTGTTGTTGAGAGTGTCCAAGCAAGTAGCAGAGCAGGATGGCTTCATTGGGCACACGGATTTGGCCAAGGCAGGGGCAGACGGGCGGACTGCTACTCTGCAGACTCCCGCCTCGGGCTGTGACATAAGGTCTTCGGGCATGGACCTGCAACTGAGCAGCAGAAGAACGCCTAGGCCTAGACCGTGTTGAGCTGTGGCGGCTTGAGCTCATGATGCCAAGCCCGATGTGCTACGTGCCTGCTTGTACGTGTGGTCGTGACCAAGGACTCCGAGGTCTGCAGCCTCACCATTAGTGAAGTCAGCCCAGCCTCTGGGTTGACTTTATAGACTGTCGGCCTTCTGACCGCGTTTCCTCGCCACAGAGAGGTCCAATGCGAGTCCAAGGATAGCAAAGTCTCCTGGCAAAGCTTCATGCAGCTTCTCGCGCCGGAGTTGATTGTGGCCACCTGGCAGCTTGGAGACGACCCACTCGCTAGGCTTAATGCTCGGAATTCGAGCTTGCCCTCGTTGGTACTGCGTCGGTCGCCACCGTTGCGATGCTTAATCGACGATCAAGTTTCCGGACCGCCTCACGCCGAACCCTAAAAGTTCCCTGCAGGCCAACGCCTTGCTCCAGCATTGCATGCAGCTGGCAGAAACCAAAGCCGACAAGCGGACGTGCTGAGCAGACGAACGGTATGAGTCAGAAGGCTTCTGAGCTGCGTGGCAGCCAACTCCCGACTTTCTTGTTTCAAGCAAGCGGATGTTTCAGGTCCTGGAGCCAGTTCATGCAAGGTCTTGAAGTTCTTGTTGCATGCGGCCGACCATGTGAAATTGCGTGGAGGTTGCTTTACTACCTAATTTTTACCAAGAAGAGCCGATGCATAAACGCGAGGCAGGCTACGTGATGGGTTGCAGCCTGGCACAGGATTGCAAGTTTCTATCCGCCCCTTCATAGAATGTTGCTGTATAGTTCGCAAATGTTGTAGCTGAGATGTCTTCGTGCTACCCCATCAACCGAGACTACCAGCGCTTGATCCAGTCGAGTATCAGGGACCTTGATCCCAGATGGGATCGATTCCTTAGGCCTGGGACCGAAGCGACAGCAAGGGCAACAGTGACCAGCCATCGAAGTTTGCAAACGATGCCGCGTATGGAAAGTTCATGAAGTTTCCATCCAGCGGGTCGTTGGTGATGCTGCTGGACACACCGGATCTTGTGATTCCTTTCTCGTGCCGTTACACACACAGACACAGCAAGGAAATGCTCATATTTGTAGTGATATTATACACACCTGCATAGGCGAGCGCATGAGAAACACCACGTGTTGTGTGCGTAGTTGTTATGCTGTTGTGTGCTTGTATGTTTGCAAGGTGTACGTATGTAGGCAGGCAGGCAGGCAGGTCGGTGAGTGGTGGGTAGGAAGGAAGGTAGGTAGGTAGGTAGGTAGGTAGGTAGGTAGGTAGGTAGATCTGTGTGTGTACATACGTATGCAGCCTGCATGCATGTCGGAAGGCTGTTATGTAAATTCAAGCAAGGTATATCTCAATTCAGTGATTCGTAATCTTATGTAACTCAATCCAGTGTACTGCAATGCCTTGAGTGCAGAGGTTGAGCTTCGATTGCGGTTCAGCGATATCGTCCGATCGATGAGTTAAGAAAGTGTAATCCGAAACCTGCCACTCTATCAGACCAATGATTCAATGATCGCTTCGAAAGTGACTCAGGCCTTGTGGCCAGGACCACACTTAATTCGTGCACTTGCAGAAGATTGTCTGCTGAGAGTGAGACATATGCTTGTCCATCGAGTGTTGTCCGAATACCCACAGACTTCTGCACATAACACAGCATGACACCTGAGCAAAGTAGCTCCTTTTGAAGCGGTTCCCGCGAATGGTTGTGGCTTGCATCCTACAGCCAATGTTCGAAGGTGGAGCGTTGATAAGGTGAGTCATGTTCTCGCACTGCGACCTTGCGGGTGTCCTGGTACAGTATGGCACAATGCCCACTTTTCATGCATGCCATAAACGGGCCATGTTTTTCAGACCGGTTAAGGCCCTTATGTTGCCCAGTCGAGATCCTGCTGTGTGTGGAACACTTGTTACATCATTTACATGGCTTGATCCCGCTGCGGAGGATGACAGATATCTTCTTCGGGGCAACATCAAGACATGTTTACAGAGTAATGTTGCCCGGTAGGTATTCCTGGTCCAGTGCAGTGCTTTCATTGATTTCTGGCTGATCACGGACTGACTGGAAGATAGTGCTCGTCAAAGGACGACATGATGCCGAGATCCTGAGATCACAGGCTGGACCATGCATGACAATCGGCCAGCTCACAAAGTGATGCTGGTATTGGTGTTGTTTTATGCGATACCCGTGGCAAAAGTGTGGTCACAAACACTCAAGCATGGTGCATGCCGGTGTCCTGTTTGTAACGGGGAAGGGAGAGTACGTCCTGCCGATCCAAAAGAGTTTGTAGACGGTGATGCCTCCGGTCAATACTCTGAACCACGTACCAATTTCAATGCAGTTGTTTATCTACACTACATATGGAAATTCTCCATGCAGCATGCAGCAAATCACAGCAAAGCACATCCAGAAAAGCATGGTGCGACGGCGGCTGGGTGATGCTGGTCCAGGCGGACGAGGCAAGGCCGCAAGGCCCCCGTGGATGTTCGAAGCTTTCCTTACTGCCGCCTAGGTGCGGGACGCTCCGGTGGGGGCTATGACGAGGCCGGCAATGCTTGGTACACGAACCCAAATCCGATGGACCCCTTGAGTGGGCCTGCGCTGCGTTCAACAAACGGATGCTTCTGCGATTCGATTTCTTCGAAAGTGCCCAGGCCCAGGCCCAAGCTGGAGCGGTCCTGCGAGGCCGAATTCTGCAAGAGCGCTGCCACACTGAACCTTTTGCCACGGAGGAGAACGAAAGCCGACCAATCCGCTCACTGCCGGACAAGTGCACGTGGCCTTCAAATGCATCTTGGCAGAACTCGCTCATCACTTGTCCATACGCAGTTCTTCTTTGCATGGAGACCCTTTCCATCAGCCTTGCCAACATCAAGACTTCCATGTCCAGGTCACAATGGCAAACACATCAAAGCCGAATCAAACGAAGAGCTGCGTGCTTCGAGCTCGGCCACGTGGCATTGCTCTCGCAGCCAAGTGCTGTTTGCACGAACGGCTGAAGCGTGATGTGAAAGGACAGTCAGAGATTGACGGTTCGACCGACCGAAACCCATAGAAAGTTGGAGCACGAACTTGCACTCAAGAGCCGGTGCCGCATTCCTGTGTGTAATGCCTGCTTTCCGCTGTCTACTGACATGAAGCCTTGTGTCTGTCTGCACAAAGGTCATCAAAGAGCCAGAGAAGTTCGAGGTGGAGCGCTCTGGCAGTGAGTCAATCTACTTGAAGTCCCATACTGGAAAGTATTTGACGGTGGACAAAAACGGCGACGTGCACGCATCAGGAGACATGGGGCTGAGGATAAGGTTTCGAATCTCCTGACTGTGCTGATCAGAGCTTTGCCAGGAGTATCTGCCTCCGATGGATCTGTCTTCCAAGTTTTGCTCCAGGACCATCCCTAGCAAGGGCTTGCTGATTTGGCGGTCGACAGCTTGATGTTTGGAAGGAGAATGGGCTCGTGGCCTTGCGCAGCCACTGTGGGTTCGTTGCGGCCGAAGCAAATGGCCGGATCCGTGCAAACCGATCGCTGATAGGCCTGTGATGTGGGGAGGGCACCTAATTTCTGCCCATACGTAGCCTGAGTCGGAGCTAACGATGGGGAGGAAGCTGGGAGCTGTTCCAGGTCAAGGACCGCCGCATGTTAAAGTGCTGCCCTTTCGTACGGAAAAAGCCTTGACTTCGCTGATTCCATGGCCAAAACAGATTTCAGAGAGAAGCCGCTTTGGAGGACCGCTCTAGAAGGAGCCGCACAGAGCATCCGGGTCACGAGCTTCCGGAGCCGGCAGCTCGGCCTCGCTTACATTGGTCTCCATCGGCGGAACTAATCTTCATGCGATTATCCAAAGCACGGCAAGGATTCGGGCTGAAAGGTCGGGTGTTCTTCCCGTCGATGTTCAGGACATTTCTGCAATACCCGCTGCAGCCAGAATCGTAAAGCGTGCACTGAGCAGGGATATGTGCTTTGCTGCTGGTCTCCATCATCTCGATGTGTCAGTTCAGTTGGGGCACGAAAGCCGGTAAAGAGGCATGGGACATGTAGCTGTTAGCCTGCATGAGAAGGATGAACAAGATGATGCTCCTGCCTTTTTCGATGCTTTCTGCCGCCTGGCCACAACAGCCAGTGACATGACAGTTGCACGTCCTTTGGTGAAGCAGCGCGTCGACCCGCCTGCTTGTGTTGCATCGAGAAGAGATGAAAAGATGAATCTATGATGTTTCGATTATTCAATGCCCAAAGCCGAGGCCAAGTTGAAGGCATTCTGACTGCGGAAGAGCGTTACGCGAAGACCCACCATGACCGGCAGGGCTTGCAGGGCATCATCCTGTACTAGTCGGTGGGTGAATGGCAAGGATCCTGAAACTCTCTCACTGAATTGCTTCACTGACTGACTCAACCCTCGAGGATCGCACGGCAGTGCTCTTCGACAAGAGGGTGCGGTCCCGTCGGCGAGATCACATGGAGTGGAGCTTCAAGCACTTCTACATGGAAAAGGAGCAGCCCAGTGAAGAAAGGATGCGAGTGGGTTACGGTTGCCGTTGCAGAAGCTGAAGCTTGGCCCAGAGGGAGCGAAAAGAGCGCTTATAATGCCTATGGGCCCCGAACACGTCCGGACACGAGGTGGGGATATGACCGGAGGTCGCAACATCGCTCCTGCAGCTGAAGCAAAGCGGATGCAAACTTCCGAGGTATCCTCCCTCCTTTCGCGGCTGTGTATCGGCATGGGACATCACTCGTGTAGAGATGGACGCAGATGGCCGCGCGGTGGCATTGAGACACGTGAACACCACGTGGTTGCGTCAGTTGCGTTCTCCAAAACTCTGAGACAAAGATCACAATACAGTTTGAAGCAGCGGGGCCAAGACAAGATGGCGCGCATCGGTGCATACGCTTTCGGCATTGTGCCAACTCGAGTGCCGCGCCTTGGAGGCTTGGAATCCTTGAGCCACTCTGGATTAGGGCCGATTAGGATCTAGAGTCTATAGCTAGCTAACTAACTAACCAACTAACTACAATTATTCCTACCACCACTAGCAACCAAACCGCTTTGGATTGTGCGTGGTGCAAGCTGAAAGACTATCTGCTGTTTCAACCTTGCCACTCTTTCATTGGCGGACGTACATGGGGCGGAGGGGGATACCACCCCCTCCGCCCCAAGCCCCACTGAAGCCAAGCCATTTTGCAGAGAGCCCAGTGCTGGGCTAGTACGAGGCTGGGCTAGTACGATTGCTGCTGCGCAGACCCCACTGTAAACCAAGACTTTAGTGGCAGGGAGCATGGGGGTACAGGGAGCACTTGGTAATAATATGACTGATACTGGTAGCATCTCGTAGCACTTTCACTGCGAAAGACCAAATGAGGATATCGATATCAGTCATGCATAAACCTTCACAGTAGCGAAACCCTTCAACCAGGGTTGACGAGAAGCCGCCTTTGGACATTGCGGCAACAAGATGCTTGATCTTGCACAACGCCAGTGCTCTGCAGACTGTTACAGCGAGTTGTCACAGCACAGTCGGCAAAAGTTGGGGCAAACGGCCACAGGGCGTCGAGCGCAGGCGAAAGAAAGGGCGTGCAACCCCTGCAAAGTTTCAACGCCTTGTCAACCATGCTCCGCGACCGCTTTGTGCAGGGCCAGAAGGCCTTGAGACCGACGGTCAGGGAGACAATGAAGATCCGGCGGATGATAGTCCGTGCTGTTTTGAGTGATTACGATCCGGACGACTGCAGTTAGAATGACCACGGTTATCCATGTGGCAATGGCCAGTGGCAACACCGGCGTGGGAGAATCGATGGATTTGGCACAGGCTTCTAGCCCCAAAGGGAGTGCGGGGGGTGGGGGCAACCAGAACGATGCACGCCCCTTGAAAAGGCTGAGTTGAAAGCCCAGCCGAGGCGAGCAAGTGGGCCCGAAGTTGCAAGCAGAAAGCCGACAGCCGACAGCAATTGACAGGAACATGTAGGTGCCGAGGGCCCATGGAGAGTAGCATGCCTTTTGGTTGGGTGTTGAGCGAAAAAAGAAAGCCAAGCCCCCCAGTTCCCCAGATACTTAAAACAGCATCCTTGAAAGAGAATTGGATGAGGGAGTTTGGAAGGGAATCGAGCAAGTCGACCCACATGCAGCAGCTGTGTCGACGTCTGGTCTTCACACCGGCTTCACCGATTGGCCTTCGTTGGCATAAGTCGTCAAACCTTGAACGGGCCAGCTACGAAGGCCTTACTTCATGGTTTGTAGTTTGCTTGGTGGGACTACGGCACAACACGCGACACGTGCAAGGAAAAGAGCAGCGGATGCCAGATCGGTTGCAGCTGTGAAATGAGGTTGGACGGATCCTGTCACGAAGTGGTGAATCATGGTGACGCCGAGGTGAAAGTGATACGCCCAAGGCCGAGGATACCGAGGACGCTGTGCGACCCAGGCCAGGTGAGATGTCAAAATGCAAATCGAAAGTCATAGGCTGCTGGGATTTCCCGCGCATCAGAGTGAGCTGATGTGCGTTTGTCGTCCCCCCTCCTGGCAGGACACGCTCCGGGTCGGATGGCTCGGAGGTGCGCATGAAATAATTTTAACGTGTGCCCCAAAACAACTGCAAGCCGCTTCCCCTGTAACGGGAAGAGACGATCTTCAGCGGAGATCTGAAAACTCGAGCAGGTTGTAAGCTTCGACGGCCTCGAGGCGGGCAGATGTCACTGGAAGAAGATTCTCCAGGAGGAGCCCAAGGGGCGAAACACGGCAACTGAACGAAGCATCAGTCTTTTGGTTGCCCCGAGGGGCTCCACAATTCCTCACATGAATCACAATTTGAAGCAGGGAAAGCAGCACTTGAAAGTCGCCGTTTGTGCTGCAAAGCTGCTTATATTATCGTACGTTTGCAGTAGTGCACATCGCGCTCAACTGTCCGTCAAGTCGCACATTTCGGTGCCAAGAAGATTTGCATGTTCTTTTCAATTTCTGGCTGCTTTGCTGCCAAAGCTGCCCTGAGACCGGTGGGGCAACTGCAGACCCTTCGGTTCACCCTTGCAGCTATGCATGCCATGAGCCAACAGCGTCCGATGCAAGAGTTTCCTATAGACACTTCCCCTGCCCCTCGTTCTTCACCTCAAAGTTTTCGAAGGATCTCACAGATGCTGTGCGCATCATCGCAGCATTCGGCGTGCCAGCCGCCTCGGCAGCGGACGCAGACGAGGCAGCCTGGCAGCTGCTGGAACGCAAGTAGTGCTCAGCATCACACCACATTCGTGTTCATGTAATCGAACACAGCGCAGCGCAGCACCACTTCTGGATACTGACCGACAAGCATCAAAATCTTGCGACCCCTGATCAGTCTTTCACAGGGGAGAGAACGCCAGTAGTGTTTGGTGCAATGCCATCTATGTCACGTCCGGCGATCAACCGCCAACATTCTTGCTGCTTTCGTTTGCAAAATCCGTAAAGCTCATGCTGCTAGACAGTTTGACTGTGCTTACAGTGTTGTCACTGTTGTGTTGAACCATTCAAAGGCGGTGCTCCTCTTCTTTAAAGAGTCTAAGATACAATGCCGTTGAGAGGGAGAACTGTTTCGTCTTTCCGTCTGCTCAGTAACCTGTCCGTGGCCGAGGCGTTTGTTGGCAACGCAAGCCGGCTGCAAGCAAAAAACTGCGCATGTTCTCGTCATGTGTGCAGCCCAGAACGCGATCATGCTCATATTTCACGGAACTTGACTGTCAAAGGTGCTCTTCGGGGCTTTGCAAAGCTATCGGACCGATCGGCATCCTGGCCTTGGCACTGATACATCAGGCGTGTGTGCAAAGGTTTGGCACCTATTCTACTTTTAGCACCCGTGCTTAAACAGGGCTTCCGTATGCTTCCGTATACTAAGGCCACAAGAGCTGTTGCTCCAGGGCCGTGCCTGCGTGCTGAGGTGTCGACTGCAGCCCTTGGCCACCAGCCCTCGACGCAGTGTTTGCGGAGCGTTTTGCAGGCAAGAACTCACACATACGGACATTTTCGCTTTGAGCAGCCTTTTCTGACTTGCATGTCTAGCCTCCATGGAAGGTCTCGGTGCCGGTTCCATTCGGCTGAAGTTTGGCGCCCTGCCTGGCGAGGCCTACGACGTCGACAAGGCAGCGAAGAGAAGATTGAGATTTGGGGAAGTGCTTTACAGATTCAGAACAGCATGAGCGATTCAAAATGCTTCAAACAAGAGCTGTGGGTCTAGTTTGACATGCCGATCATTGAATGGTCGTGATTCGCAGACACATTCGTGCAGATCTTTGCAGGATCCTGTTTTCCTGGCCTGGAAGCGGGCGGCAGGTCCCACTGCCCGCGGAGAGGACTGGGTACTTCAGCATCTCGCAGAGCAAAGGCTAAGAGGGCGCGAGCTGCCTCGGCAGTCATGGTTGACATAGTGTTTTCGGCTTCGAAAGAGAAATTCGAATCATGAGACAGGGCTGCACCGTGCGCAAACGCAAAACTTCGAAGGGGACCCATCTTCCAACCACAATGACTCCTCAGATAGTCCTCCGCAGACGAAGCTTGCCAACCTGGTCTGCTGGCTTGCGAATACGCCCTGGACCTTCGTCTCGGGGCGTTCGAGCTTCTGTCAGGGAATGAACGGGCTTGTGACTGGCAAAGTCGGAAAGTTTCCGAATAGGTGTACGGTTCAATGAGTCGTGGTCGCGATGCCTGATCACTGAAAGAGCATGTCCCATCCAATGTCTTCTTCAACCCAAATCGGACACTCCAGCAGGAACCGCATATGCTACGAAGTTTGCCATCAATCTTATTAATTATTACCTTGCTACTCTTAAAGTGGTTTTGAGTTTGAGGGCAGAAAGGCCCCAACCCTGGTACACGGCCAACAGCTCACAGCCGAGACCCACCCACCATTGCAGACGAAAGCGACCCAAACCAACCCGAAAGCCGTCAAAACAACCGTAGATGTTCCATGTGACCACCACACTGCACCGACACCTGCGGTTGCAGCATGAAGCACTGCGCAGAATAGTTGTGTGAGCTTTGCTGGTTCGCAAGCCCTTCCAAATGATGGTTGAAGCAGCTTTTATCTGCCTCGATTCTGAAGACTCCACATGCTGGAAGCAGGCATGCTGACTCGCGTTTGGCAGAGTTTGAGGCTGCCAGGCCAGCCAGCAGCAAATTCCTGCAGTGCAGAGCATGACACTGAGTTGACCGAGTGGTTGGAGAACACAACCGGTCAATGGCGGTCAGCTCAGGCAGCCTCAATTCTTGGCACAGGTCAGACTACGAGCGCCGTCGATTGAGTGAACAGGTTTCCACGGCAAAGCCTCTCGGTTGGCATCATATGCCCTGTCCCTGTCATCGGCATGCGAGGCACTTCCGTGCCAGTACTACCAGTAATCGTCGTCGTGACCCTAGTAGTCGTCACAGTTAGTGGTGGTAAAAGCAGTACTAGTGGCACTAGCAGTACTAGTACTTGTACTAGTATTCGCACTAGCAATAATAATATTGGCCGTGGTAGTAGTGGTAGTGGCGATAGTAGTAGTAGTAGTAGTAGTAGTAGTAGTAGTAGTAGTAGTAGTAGTAGTAGTAATGGTAGTTATAGTAGTAGTAATAATAGTAGTTATAGTAGTAGTAGTAGTAGTAGTAGTAGTAGTAATGGCA